ATGACCGAGGTGGGTTTGTGGAATGCTCAGATGAAAGGAACAAAGCTCTAATTTTGTTAATAATGTAACCCCTGTTGTCGGTAAACCCACTGAGGCAGATGAGAACAAGGAACGATGCGCTGGAATCAAAGATACCACCAACACTCAAGGGAGGGCCAGCTCGGTGCTCTTAGGGTTCACGGCTGTGGTAGCTTTAGGAGCGTGGCCCAATGTAAAGAAGATGAAGAGTTAGTGCTCCCATAAGGGGCTCCCAGCTAATAACAGATGGGTTGGTGGACAAAGTTCAGCAAACTCGCCCTTCACGTGGGGAAACTGTGAGGCAGGGTCTGTACCACCTCCCACAGTTGCCTGGAGGATCTGAGCTCCAGCCGCCCACAGTGGCAGCTTCTCCACGCAAGCTTTATAGGCTCACCCCTCCCTAGCTCACTTCCTGTCTCAGCAGCGTTTTAAGGAATCCTCTCCCAAGTAAAGTATTTGCTCTTGAATCCTTGTCAATTCCACTCTAACTGGAAACGTCATGTGTTTTCCCACCCTTCCCATCTCCTTGAGATCCTAACCCCTCTTGTCCTGCCTATCATATTGTCAGAGTCCTGGATCTCACTTTGCTACAGTCTAGGCCTCATAGATCTCCCTTTCCGCTGAAATCAAGATACTCTTCCCTACTCAGTTGGCAGTGAGTCAGACACAGTATACTCCTCCACTGTGTAGTGGAATCAGACATGCACACCTGGCCATCAATCCTGACTCCGTTACTTACCAGCTATGAAACCTTGGGCAAATCACCTAACCTCTCTGATCTTCAGTTTTCTCCTCTGTGAAAGAAAGGTAACATTCCTTACCTTGTCAGGTTGTCCTTTTGATTTAATAAGCTAAATGTGTAAAGAATCAGGATATTGTCTAATACAAGAAGCTATTCCAGAAATGATAGTGATTTTTATTACATAATTTTCTTCCATTACTTACTTTCTTATGTGTCTCCATCTTGCTTTCCCAACTAGGCTGTAGCTTCTCTGCCATATTCAACTTCTTTACCACAATGCCTTGCACATAACGGGCACTAAATAATCATTAGTTATCAGGTTTCTAAAGCTTTAAATCAGAGGATGCACTCTTTCAATTCGAGGTTCATTTATGAATTATTTGTTATTGTGAGGCATTCTCAAGAAATTTTTTGCAGGTAACTCCTTTTCTGGGCCTCAAATTTTCCCATATAAAAAAGAAATGTTTTGGTCTATAATTCTAGATGCACCGAGGTCCTTCTAGCATTAAAGTTTGGAAGCTATATATTCCTGAGGGCAAGTACTGTATGTTACTCTCCTCCTGACCCTTCCTCACTTACTATAATGGTGGTCACAGATTAAGTGACTTCCCAGTGCACGGAGAATAGATTCCAGATGCCTCACCCAGCCTTTCCTCTAGCTTTCATCCTGTCCCTCACTCCATTCCAGCCAGACTGTGTTTACTTTGCACCCCTAGAACTTTCCAACCTTGATCTGCCTTGAGGTCTTTGTACTTGCTGTTTCTTACCATTTGGTTCTCTGCTCAAGCGTCTCCTCCACGGAGGTCTCTCACCCCACCCCAGTCTCTCTATCCAACAACCCTGCTCTGTTTTTTTGTTCATGTCACGTCTCTCTGAAATTGTCTTATCATTTAGTCATTTATTTCCCTTTTTTGGTGTGCATTTTATTTGCATTTATTGTTTTTTCTCTCCACCTCTCCCTCTAGCCCCCAAATATAAACTTCTATCTTGGATCCTTTTATATCCCTGCTGCAACAAAAAATACTTCGCACAAACTACACCCCTAAATAATTGAGAAATGACTGAATAAACTCTACCACACCTTACAGAGTAGTTTTTAGGTGGTGAGTTAAAATCCATGGCTGTCATGCCAGGTTCTAGTGAATTTAAGTATATGTCCTAAGCTAATTGCCATAGGTCTGAGTAAACATGGAGTAGGAAGAAACAAGGAATTCTTAGGAAGACAACTGCAAACAATCATATCAGCTTATCTAGAAACTTGCTGGCAGTGGGAAATTTAGAGATAATTTTTAAAGATGTAATTCATTTCTTTTTATTATGGAAAATTTCAAACATAAGCATGGACCCTCTTGTGCACGGTGGTGGACAAACCCTAGGGTAGCCGCTCATCCTAGTATTCAAACCCTTGTAATATCCCTTCCCCTGTGACTTGCTTTCTAACGGACAGAGTACGGCACATTTGATGTCACCCCTGTGTGATTACCTTGTGTTATATGAGATTCCATCTTGCTAGCAGGTTTGCTCTGGATGACTCTCCTTGCTGACTTGATAAGTGGCCGTGCTGGCCCATGAATGCCAGGTGCCACCTAGGAATTGAGGACAGTCTCCAGTGGACAGCCAGCAAAAGCCAAGGTCTTCAGTCCTACAGCTGCAAGGAAATGAATTCTGCCAGTGACCCAAGTGAACATGGAAGCTGTTTCTTTTCCAATTGAGCCTCCAGATGAGAATGCAGCCTAGCCAACACCTTGATGGCAGGTGTGAGACCCTAAGCAGATGACCCAAGTGCCTGGACACCTGACCCACAGAAACTGAGATAATAAATCTGTGTTGTTTTAAGCTTCTAGGTTTGTGATAATTTGCTGCCACAGATAACTAATAAAGATATATCTATCACCCAACATGAACAATTTTCAAGTTTGCCAATATCTATATCCTCGTGTTTTTTGGGGGTGGATGGGCTGGACTATTTTAAAGCACATGCAGATATTTTTGTATGTCTCTCTAACAGAGAAGGACTATTAAAAAGCATAACCACGATGCCAGAAAAATTAAGGGCTTAATTGAGAACAAGAATAGGAGTCTTTTTTTCAAGCAACCAAGTCAATGTATTTAGTATATTAACTGGACACCTGGAGAAAAGGTGCTTGAAATAAATCAAATAACATCCTGTTGATCCCATGAGCTAAAGGATAGGAGAGCATGGGAGAGTTTTCATTTGAATTGTCTGAGGTTTGCCAGTTGTTTTTTTTAAAAATCAGTACAGCCGCAGAGTACTGAATTGTCCCTACAATGTGCTCATTGGTCATACAATATCTAAAACCATTCGGACCCATTTCTAACTAAGGTCCTACCCATTCCCCTAACCTGCTTTATGATGGATCCTGGTAAATACCATTTTTATTCATAACTCCTTATAATTTCATGTCCTACTCGAATTGCCATTCCCACCACTTTTTCCTTACTACAGGAAGCTCTTCCCAACTGCCCCTAGTTCTTTTCCTCTCTTGGATAAACCAATCTCATCTCCCTTTGACACCGCTCACCTAGGCAGCGCTTAATGAGTGAAATTCTCAGGGCTCTGGGTTCAATCCCATCTCGACCACCCGGGCGGTTTGTGATCTCTGGCAAGTAGTCGGCTGGATACAATAGTGCCTCGCAGCGTTGTCGTGAAGATTAGATAAAGAACGTGCGTAACGTGTGAAGCGCCCAGCACCGAAAAGGCGCAGTAGAACCCCAGCCCTTCCCTTTGTTGGTTTCCATCTCCAACCAAACAGCACCAGAACGCTCAGTACCACGCCGCTCCCGCCCTCGTCGCGGAGGATGCAGGGATTTGTAGTTTTTTGGTCCCCTAGTTGCGTTTCCTCTCGGAGCCGGACGGCGAGAGGAAGAACTACACGTCCCAATAGGCCGTGAAAGGAAATTGGGGCGCGGAAAACCGATCGTCCCCGCCCCGTCTTCGCTCTCGCGGCCCACCGGCTGTGCCCACGGCGGGAGGGTTCAGACCCCCGCTGCAAAGCCAGGGCCGAGCGCACGAGCAGATCCGTGGGGACAGTCGGGCGGGGCGGGAGAGCACAGCGGGTGGCCCCTCTGCGGCCGTGGGAGCTCGCGGGGGGAAAGGAGAGAAATAAAGCGAGCAAATTGTGAGCGCCCGTGTCGGAGAAGTGAGAAAGGGCAGGGGAAGCAGCAACGCACGCAGAGCCTGGCTGCCACGGGGCTTGGTCCTCCGGGAGGGACCCAGGGCGCTTCGCTGTCCCCTCCTCCCCGCGGGAAGCCTGGAAGCTGGCCGGGCACGGAGACTCCCGCCCGCAGCCCCCATCCCGGAGTCCGGCCCGCCTCGTGCAGCGCCTCCCCATCCTGTCGCCGGGGCACCCCCAACCCACTCCCGGGCAGCAGCAGAGCCCCCGCCACTCGAGCACGCGCCCCGCTGGGGGAGGGAGAGGAAGAGTCGGGGCGGGCAGGGGAGGGTCACCACTCCGCGCCGGTTCCTCGGGTCCCCAGGAGTAGCCAGAATGGGTTTGCGTGTTGCTGCGTAAATGTGTGTCCCGAGGCGGCAGCGGCCGCCGGGAATAAACCGGGAGAAGCCGGGAAGCGGACAGAAGTCTGTGGGAATGCGCGCGGCGGGGCATCGGGTGCCCGGCCGGAGAGGCCCTTGGGCGATGCCGGAGGGAGTCCAGCGCCCGCCCCGGGGCCTCGCCTGCCCTGCTGGTGGGCACGGGGGCGGGGGACCCTTCCGAGCCCGTGCGGGCTTCGCCCGAGAGGAGGAGCCGGAGGAGGAGCCCGGCGGGCGAGGCGCCGGCCGCCGCCCACCGGGCCGGGAGGAGGCGGACCAGCTCGGAGCGAGGCGCGCGCGCCGGGGCTCATCCTCGCAAACAAGTGTCTGTGGCGTTCGCCCCGCGGCCCAGAGACGCGCTCCGCCGCTCCCGGCGGCCCTCCTTGCGCCGGGCCTGGCTCCTATGGGGCCGGAGGGAACCAGGGAGCCTCTGGCCGCGCAGCCGGCGAGCCGCCGCCGCGACCCTCAGCCCAGGCGGCCCCGGCAGCTCAGCGCGGGGGCCGCGGACTCGGCTCGCCTGCCAGGCGCGGCGGCGCGGGGTCGCCGCGCGAGCAGCGCCCGGGCTGTCGCCGAGCCCGCTCCTGACAGAATAACGTGCTTGGTTTCCCCACCCCTGGGAGGGGTTGCTGGGGCCGCAAGCTGCCTCCCAGTTTCCATCGCTCTCTCCTGGGGAGGATCCGCCGCCGGGAGGAAGGATTAGAATAAACCTGACCGAGGCGCAGAAGTGGCTCCTGAGGAAGCCGGCGCCGGGGCCGCCGCCTCGTGTCGCCTCTGGGCGCAGCGCTCGGGGGTCGGCGGGCCAGAGCCGAGGCGCGGCCGGAGGGCCGGGGGCTGCGGGGCCGAGCGAGCGGCTGTGCGAGGGAGAGGGCGCACGGCAAGCACTGGGGCGACTGGGCAGCCCCCCGCGCCCCGCGGGGTCCCGGAGCCCCAGCACGCGGGCTGGAAGCGACTGAGGACCGCCGCCGCGGGCTGCGGGCGAGCACCGTCCCTCTAGGCAGGGGATCCGGCTATGACAGCTGGGCTCCCCAAAGGGTTAACCTGGGTGTCCTCGGCAAAGTTGTCGCCGAGCCGGGAGCCCGCGTAGGGGCCGCGGCGCCGAGGCTCTGGGGGCGGCCGGGCGGCCGGCGGCGGTCGTGGCTCGGCGGGGGCCGCGCGGCCGGGGGGCTGCTGGGGGTGTGCGCCCCCAGCCGGCTGCCCTCGTGGATGCCTCCCGGCGGCGGCGGGCCCATGAAAGACTGCGAGTACAGTCAGATCAGCACCCACAGCTCCTCCCCCATGGAGTCGCCCCACAAGAAGAAGAAAATCGCGGCCCGGAGGAAATGGGAGGTTTTCCCGGGAAGAAACAAGTTCTTCTGCAACGGGAGGATCATGATGGCCCGGCAGACGGGCGTCTTCTACCTGACTCTCATCCTCATCCTGGTCACTAGCGGACTCTTCTTCGCCTTCGAGTAAGTGGTGGCGAAAGCTCCCCGACGCCTGGCACCCCTCGCCTCCCCGATCCCTGTCCCTCTCCCCTCGCTACTTTCGTTTTCTAGAAGCCTTATCTATTGTATATTGTTAGATAATACAGACCCCGCACTCCCTCTTTTTCTTTAAAAGGTCTGTTTGCTTTTCGGTCCCCGGAGATAATGCAGTTCTGGGTCGGGCTCTGGGAGTGGAGGAGAAGGGAGAGAGGACACTTGGAAGGTGTGCCGGCCTTGTTGCACCCAAGGGTTGAGTGGCACCTTGCAGGTTACTGATTCTTGGCGCGGGCCCTACTGAGTTTGGAGACTAGCAAACCAGCCCAGATGTAGCCTTCTGTGGGAAGCGGGGATGAGGCAGATCCTTAAGTCAGGGATAAACAGAATCGACTTCCTTTCGTGCTCACGAGCTGTAGCGCATCTTGTGAAGCTCAGTTGACTAAATCTTCTACATACCTTCCCTGACTAACGAGAAATCTTGGTTATTTTAGGTCTCAGAGTGTTGGCCACTCCATGTGGCTTGGAAGGATAATTTCATTTTTCGTTCTCCTTAGATGTTCACTCTTGATCAATTTCTGATTTACTATCAGGTTTCTAAACGATTCACTTTAAAAACAGGTTTCAGTAAAAAAAATGCTCCAAGCAAACACTTTCCCCTCCCCTCCCAATATTGGGGAACAGGTAAAAGGAGACTGTAGGCCTGTCAGGAAGAGTATGACACTGCATAGTAACTTATGATTCCAGAAACAAAACTTTGGAACTTTAGGGCTTTTATCGGGGGAAAAAAGTGCATGCACGTCTTCTCCATTCAGGAAAATCAAATTGGCTGATAGCAACTATCTTCCTGCCAACTAACTAAAGATCTTCTTGTTTGTTAATAGTATTAGATAAAGTAGTTTAACCACATTTCAGAATCCACTTCAATTGCTCTTATTGGGTCCAACATTTGCATTGCAGCTTCTTGTGTAATTCTTGGTATCTTATGCTCAATGAAACTTATAGCTACTACCCCCTCCCATTGAAAAAAAAGCAATATATTTATTGGGAGTTCTTTGCTTTTCCTAGCTATTATGGGGCATGATACTCTTTCTGCTTCTGTTGGATAGGGTTAATTAAAAGCTTTTGTGTATGTTTACTTTTGTCTGTGGTAAGTATTAATAGGTTCTGATTTTGTGCCTGGTGTTTGATATTCCAAATGCTGTCTCGGTCAGAAATGGATGATCTCTTGACAGTGTAATACTTTTCACTTAAAGCCCTCTGACTCTGAGGGGAAACATTTTGTGTCTGAACATTGTGCTGTGATGAACAATTTTCATGGGATTGAGTGAGAACAGGTGAGGAGAGAGATCTCAGCTATATGCTCCTTAACTCCCCCAGCCTTTCTTACAGACAACAACTCCATTTCTGACTATGTAAAATTTCCAGGTCTCTTCTAGAAGGTTAACGTTGGTGCACATTTGAGACTAGTTGGTGGAGTCTGTCTGGGGACCTGGTAACGGGAGGGTAGGGGTATGCAGAGGCTTTCAGAATGATGGGAGAAATGCCCTGTTGTTCCTGCTGCTGCTCCCCTGCCCCCATCCAGAGCCACCGTCTTGTCCTTACAGACCTGGGGAACTGGGGGAAGGGGCCAGAGGTTCTGGGTGATTTTGCAGTCTGAGTCATAATAAATCCCGGCACTGACATGGTGATGTCATACGGTAGAACAGAAATGCCATCCTTCCAATGGTGGCTTCATTACAGGTGTTCCCCTAGGTAGAGAATATTCACTATGTTCCTCATGTTACCAGAGTTTTGAATGGATCTATACTGGCATCTCTGCGCTTTTTTAGCTGTGTTAAGAGTGGAGAAAATGGATTCATTTTGTGATTGTGTGGCAGAGCTTCAGCCACAAGTGTGTTTCATTTAGGATCGTGACTATTTCATTTTCTCTAAACACCCAAATCCCCACTGTATGGTTAGGGGTCCCCTGCAGTTGTTACTTTTACTCTACTTTTACTTTCTTTTACTTTCTTCTTTCAGACACTGCTTTTAACCAAACCATCATAAGTTCATTTTCACCTCATCTCTGTGTGTTTCTTCCAAGAGTTCCCCAAAGTCCTCGCTAGAAGGTTGTTAGGGATCTTTCTGTGTCAGCGTTGTGTTAAAGGATGGCTGTAGGAATAAACATGTGCACTGGGATTTTATTAGCTACTGTCAGCAGCTTCAGTTTTAGATCGGCTCTACATGTATGTGTGTCTTTGGTGTCCATGAGTGTTGCTTCAGTTAGCCAATTTGAAGTTTCAAGAAAATAGGCTCATCGTAACATGATGCCTCAGTTACAAAAAATCATAGGGCTGCTCAAATCATAGAATGTTACGCTTTAGCAAGAATATTTGTCACTGTATTGCTTTTAAGTTCTTTACCATTGCTAATGCCAGGGTGAAATTAAATAACTTTGATCAAATTAATTTGATAGAGACTCAGAGCCCCAATTAGTCACATGCACGGGAAATGAAATGCCAACAGGCTAGGAGAGATCAAGAGAGAATGCCAGTTTTGTCTGCTCTCTGTCTGCCTTCCTTCTGCCATTCCTTCAGTTATTTATTGAGCATATACTATGTGGTTGCCTATTTTGATTAATTTCATGTCTAGATAACTTTAATATTAGCAGAATTTGTTTTTAAACACGAGGGTCCATGTTTTTCCATACTGTAACACAAAGGCAAATATGAAATTTGAAAATAAGACGTATAACTTCTAAACTTAGTTTTAGACCTCCGTTTCCTGCAACTCTTCTCCACCCTACCTCTTCTTCCTGACCTTGAAGAGATGGACAGGGAACTTTGTTCAAGAGAAGTGGACTTCTTGGAATGCAGCAACAGGTGTTGATACTCTCTTCAACCGTGGAAGAAAGGCAGGGTAGAATGATTTTTCTCACCTTGAAGATGAAGTGATAGAGGCTTGGAGAGGTTAAATAATCACCTAAGATCACACACTAATTAGTGGCCAGGCTTCTGGCTGGAAAGCCTGTGACCTTTCTGATGCTCTCTGCTGCTCCTCCCCCAAATATAGGATAGTGGTTACAGGCATGTATGCCTTTCGGAAGGACAGATCCCAAAATTCTTCCCAGAAGTATGACCTTAGACAAATTAGTTGCCTTTTCTAAGCCTTGGTTTCCCAGTCTGTTAAATGGGATTAATAATATCTACCTTTAAACGTTGTGAAGATTAAATGACGTGTATTTAGTCCAGTGTCTGATACATAGTACTCATTAAATGGTACATGTTATTAGAGCAGAACTTAGAAATAGCCTCCCAAGGACGCTGGTCACCCCTTTCTGAGAACCTGTGAAGGACGGAGTATGTGGATTAAGAAGCAGGCACGACAGTGATAGCATATTAGGGCGGAAAAAATGTGGAACTGTGTAGTCTGCAGTTGAACAGAGACCTTGGCGTGAGTCTGAGGGGCAGCTTTGCTCTTGCGCCTTTTATCCAGACCCTGAGCAAGGGCAGTGAGCAAGCCTACAAGAAGCAGGAACTACATCTCCTTTCCATCCTTGGAGCTGCCATCTCAGAATCGAGAAGACAGTAATAAAGCAACTAGAAGAAACCTGAAGCAACCCTCCAGTCTTTGTCAAGTAGGGCGGGGCTATTTATCTTTAGATGTCTTCTATTCAACATATGTAGCTGGTCCAAAGTGACAGCATTACATGGCTGTGTTTAAGAGGGAAGGGTGGAAGTTGGTTGCAGTGCTGTGGAGACATATCACTGCTCCTTGCACTTACTGAGGGGCTGGCTCATCAAAGACTCCCTACAATGTCCTCATTCTCACACACCCCAGAATTGCCATTTGAAAAGATCAGTGAACATTATCAATTTCTTTCTCTCTGACCTACACACACATATAGCCCACTTTTTTTTTTTTTTTCTTTTGCGGTACGCGGGCCTCTCACTGTTGTGGCCTCTCCCGTTGCGGAGCGCAGGCTCCGGACGCGCAGGCTCAGCGGCCACGGGTCATGGGTCCAGCCGCTCCGCGGCATGTGGGATCTTCCCAGACTGGGCCACGAACCCGTGTCCCTTGCATCGGCAAGCGGACTCTCAACCACTGCGCCACCAGGGAAGCCCTTCCTTTATTTTGTAACTAAACACTTTAAACAGATAAAGCACTCTGTGGTATATATGAAGGTTACCCAACAACCACCAACATGTAGAGTAATTTTGTATCTTATAGGTTCTTGTCTTTGGATACTTGAATTTATATAGTAGGACTTTTAAGGATTCTATTGACTACTTGTATTTCACTGTCTTCTCTCAGCTATTGGGAACTGACATCAAATTATGCAGAAAGGACTCTTGTAGGTTCCTATAACAGGGTAATGATGATCAATTATTTATTGGGCTATATCTACATAACCTGGAGATTTTTTCTTTTGCAGTACAGTGCTACACATAATTTATTCAAGGCAGAGTTATTATGTCTTAGCAAGAGAAATTAAGGGTTTCAAGGAAGTATGTTCATTGTTTTGTAGCTCAGGTTGTTAGGAAAGGGAAAACAGTGGTGGTCAATAGATGCTTATAATTAGATACACCCAGAAATATGGATCTGATAAAATGTCAGTTGGTTCAAGTAAGAGTTGGGGACTTTCTTAATGCTTTTGTTTAGTTCTTCACTAAATATAAAAGTTGGTCCTAATTTAAACTAATTTTTATAAACTGGATAATCTTCTAGTATTTCTCCAATTCCCCCCCATTTAAAAAATATAATATTAGATTGATATAGAAGATTATATATAACAACACACATGCAATTTTGAAATAAAATACTTTACATGAGTATAAAGAGCCCCCATGAAACTACCACTCACTCAAGAACCATATCAATACCAGGGCTTTTGAAAAAAAAAAAAATTACCAGGACTTTTGAATCTACTTATATCCTTTGGGTTTCAGCCCTGTCCCATCTTCCTGCCCCTCCCTGATAATAGTCATTATTAAGGCCTTGCCCTATTT